GCTGCCGCACATGGCCCCGGGTAACCCCCCGGGGGCGGCGGCGGGGCCCGGAGCTGCCTCCTCCAAGGGCAGGGAGGAAGGCAGCCCTTCTTCTCCCAGAGATATGGGCTATTTGCATTTTAAATGACTCGGAGCACGCCCCTAACACACGGTATCGGACTGGAAAGTTTGTCCTCCGGTCTCCGGAACAACAACAACAACAAAAAAAAATTTTAAAAAATATGTATTTGCTTTCGTTCAAATCCAGCAGAAAGGCACGGTGATTTTCCTGGTTGGTTTGTTTTGAATAACAGGAAGGTTTCTGGTCTCATCTGGCATGTCTGTTTTTCCATCTATTATTATCCTATCCATCTACCAGCACATCTCCAGCCTCTTCCTGTATAATCTCTCCCTCGGTGTCTTGATGCACGCTCCTGTCCCCAGCTGCGAATGTGTCCTGCTCTGCCTCTGCCCGCCTGTCAGGCGCAGGTCTCTGGGTCTGTAGGTTGGGCTTGCTTTTGCTTTTCGTACATTTGGTGTATCCGTGCTCACGGCTTTAGTAAGAAGTCGCTTACAACCAGGTGACTAAAGGGGAGTTAAAATGAGGAAGTGAAGCTGGCAGGGGATTTCTCTTCATTCGGAGGCGATGCTTGGGTGTCTCCTGTCATCGGGCAGCCTTTCCAGGGTGTCTCTGAGTGACCTGGCAGGACGAGGGTTTTTCTGGAAGGAGGCTTCTTTCTGTTTTAGTTTTGCTGGTGCAAGTCTTCCATTCTTCCCGTTATTTATCAAACCATATGGTAGAGAGTAGGTTTCTTCATTGCTCTCTTTTCTGGAGGGAGATAAAGGGAATTGGCATCCTTATGCCCACTCCCAAGATTAATATAAACACTTTTGTTTGCTGGCAAGAACAGTTTCAAATGTGCAAGAACAGTTTCAAATGTGCAATGCTTTTATTTTTTTAGGGTGCCTGTTTCTAGGCCTGCACAGGTACGGAGACTGGATGCGTTCGCTGTTTGCCGCAGCGGCAGGGAAGCGGGCACGCGGCATTGTTTTGATGGAGTTGGGACATGTTAGGAAAGTCTCAGAGAGGGCACCGCTTGTGTGGTTGGAAAACACAACTGTCTATTTAGATCTTGTAAGAGTCTTTCAGGATATAATAATTCATAAGGAGTGTAGCAGTGTGTAGTGGATGTTCGTCAACCCTGTTTTTAAAGCTTGTTCATAAACCTAGCAGTGGTGTGGTGTTTCGATAGGTTTTTATTTCTTAAATGGAAACAAACCACTGTAGGGAATCATCTGGGTCATCTAGTCTCATTCCGTGCAATCACACACTGGGTTTGGTATCTCTTTGTACTGCTAGGATATCCGCAAAACCAAGGTTACCTTTTGAAATGATTGTACAGTTAAAGAAAGAACCCTCTATTTTTTTTAAACTTACATTATAGCTACACATTAGGGCTGATTCTTAAAAATATCAGTACCATTTCTGTGCCAATTGTTAGAAATCTTATCTTTCCAGTAAAAAATTTAAAATGTCAACAAAAACATCTGATTGGAAATGAAGACTCTAATAAGATAGTTAAGAACATTGACAAATCATATTTTCAACTCTGCCTTACTTATGTTCTGCATTGTTCCTTGTTTTCTTCCTTTTTGAAGCAGTGGGCACAGAAGCTCACACTGGCTCCAGCTGAGTGCTTGCTTTTGGCCCTAAGCCCACTGCTAAAGATGGACCCAAGGCAGGCTCCTCTGTCATTGCTTTCATGTAGTTTCTATTTTCTTATGCGTATGCCTTGGCTCATCTTGCAGTCAGCTCTTTCGGTTTAACTCTACAGTTGTGTTCGTTTTCCTGGCTGATGTGGAATAATAGACATTAGAGAGATGGAAAGAACCTATTGCGGGTCGTGTTTGGTCCATCCCCCAGGGAACATCACAGGATTGCTTCCAGCAGGATATTTTCAGATGCTTTGTCCAACCTAGTTTCAAATGTCTCAAGTGACTGGGATTCCATTCTAACTGCCAGCTTGCATTTGAAGGTGGAATAAGGAAGATATGATTTGTTTTTTCCTAGGAGACTCCTATACCCTCATCTGAGATGCATAGCCTTACTTCTTACCGCTATCTTTACCAGCCTCTGTTGCTTTAAACCCACCTGCGTGGTGGCTAAGAGCCCATTCAGGGTCAGAAAGGCTTCCTTCGGGACTCACAAAGACCATCCTTGGACGGTTAGAGGGAGAAGGTGACTGAAGAAGGTGAACAGTCTTCAAACAACATTGCCCCATCAGAGAAGGGAGCTGATTTTAAAGAAGTGGGAGCTGCGGCTTGCAGAGGGAGACCCTGAGAGCATCAGTAGTGATGTAGAAAGCAAGAGGGACACATGGTATAGCTGGATAAGAACACCAATTTTGTTGGGTTATCAGATGGAGAGTTAACACAGAACCTGTTCCCAGGAGTAGTCCTAAAAAGCCTGAATTCAGTGATCTTGGAAGCATGCTGCGAAAGGTTGCCACGGGATGTGACTTACAGACTTGAGGGTGTGCAGCGTAAATGGGAGTTTTGCTTGGTGTCTGTCTGAATTCTCACCGAGGTGATTTCCTTCATGATGCTGAGATTTTATCTTAGTCCTAATTATGGTTAAGGTGCTTCATAGCCATTCATTTGATAATTTTACATTTAGATCACTAGTGACACTTGAAAAGTTCAGAGGTAAGAAATTGCTCCATTTGTGTTTGCTAGACCAGAATTAGACACTATTTATGAAGCACTCCATTCCCACTTAGGCCAGGTTTTCGTAGGAATTTTTCGTACTGGGCATGAGCTTATTTGAAAACTTGAATAAATGTATAACACTGGACCTCTTGCAAAAGGCTGTCTGCTGTTGCTGGATATGGAAACTAGAAAGGGGAATAAAATGCTGCATAGATGTAATTTTTGGTTTTGTCACCCATCTCTGATAACAGCTCTGGCAAACTTCTATATCCACTTGAGAAATTAAGCAGTCGATTTAAAAATGGTCTAACGAACTCTCTTTGCTTTTCTTCCAGCTTGCTATGGAATTGTCCAGGTTCCTACCGGACCCTGGTTCTGTCGGAAATGTGAATCTCAAGAGAGAGCCGCCAGGGTGGTGAGTACAAAGCACGCTTGCACTTAAACTAAATAGGTTCGTTCGGTGCCCTTCGTGTCTCTGCTGGAAGCAGTGTGGTCCACTGGCAAAAGTGATAGAGCCTGGCATTCCAGCACTGCTGTGATTATAATCCTAGCTCTGCCTGTAAACTGCTATATCTTGTTTATACAATAGGAATAATTGCATCGAACCATTTTATACAATCCTATTAGCCATCTTGATGAAAATGCTGCCGGAGGTGCTTTTAAGCAAGTTATCAGTGACAAAATTTTTGAGTCTACAGACCTCAATCTTCTCAAAAATAATTCCTCTAAAAGGTGGTTTCCCTGCTGCTTTTTCTATTCAACTCCTCAGGAAGTTTTGGAGTGGAGGGAAGTTGGCATCACCTGAGATGCTGCTCCACTGTCAGAGTTACCATACTGACTGACAGGATGGATTGGCATTCATATCTCGCAGCAACAGTCTCCTGCATGAAGCCTTCTGAGTTTGTAAAACAGCAGAGAAAATGACAGGAAGCTGGATCAGGGTTTAGTTTCTGTCTAAGTAGCAATTCAGCAGTATAGAACACTTTACAAATGTTCTTAATTAATTCTGGCATTTCCCAGTGAGGCAGGAAAGTGGAAACAATCAGGCCAGGGCTGCCTCTTAGGTCCGTCTATGTGGCAAAGTTATTTGTGCAGTAAACTAGGCTGTGAGTTTATAGCACACCAGCTGCTCTGCCATAACTTCCCATGTGAGCCCTTATCAGATATGGCTGCACCAACCAGCTGCTGAGGCGCCGGGGTGCAGATCTTTAACATGTTAGTTATGCCATGGATGCTGCTTTTGCCATACAGTGAATCCAAGATAGCTTCCCCACTTCGCTCTCTTAAGGATGGATTTAAATTAAACTTTGGCTTTCCTTGAATACAGAAGGCCTCACTCAACACAAACAACATTTATTAATGCCTGCACTGCCTTCTGAACTGGTTTAGCTAAACCTTTTGTAAAGTACACACCTAGTGAAGCTGATGTAGGTGTCCTCTGAATCTGCGAATCTGTGCAGGCCTGAGCAAATAGCGTGCTCTGTCTCAGCTGGGGTCTCTGCTTGCTGCAGTACAAAAGTTTAATCTGTTTCACAGATGGGCAAAGAACTTGGCAAAGATGAGTGAATGGGGGAATTAGGTATCTGTACCATGCTTTCTACATTGCATTAACTCATTCCTCATTGGAAGTGGGAGTGTAAACAAGACCAGACTTTCAGACCTGAGCTCTCTTCATCGTAAGATGCTGCTTTTATGTGCACTGCAGTAAAGAAGATCAAATGTGTCTTTGAGTGGTTTTACATCCTGCAGATAGTTTCATAGCAAAGAAAGGAATTTGGATTTCATGGGCCTCTTCCCCCCGCTCTCCCAACCGTGTAGGCAGAGAGAAGCTCTTCAGCACTAGCTACAATTCAATGTAAGCTATATTTAATACATGTACATGCAAGTCCTCCTCACCTGTGCTCAGTACAAGGTCTGTAACTTTTCACTTGCACGTTATACACTTCAAACTGCCTCCAAGGTATCAAGAAAACAATACCCCCGCAGGTGGCTCCTTATTTAACTCGCCCTGGGTGAAATCTGTTAGACAATGCGTGGTGGGCTTCAGTCATGCCATTCAGTCCTGTGGCATTCAGCCCTGCTACTATAATAACTGAACAGTGATAATCTTCCTTCCTAAGCAGAGCTGGGGATGATTTCCTATCTAAATCCCTCACCTTTTCAGTTAAACACCAGCAGTCATAGCAACAGACACACAGATGGGTAAATACTTAAAAAGAATCTAGTTCTTTTGATGTAGAGAACAGCATGATCAGAGTAAGGGAAATGAGTCAGGTCTTACGAGATCTGTGCGTGGCTCTGTTACTAAAAGACTTTGAATTTGTGCTCCGTGGTCCAGCGAGGCTGGAGCGTGTGGCTCTGCTGCTGCCCTGGGGTTTCACTGCACCTCTCTGTGCCTGGCTTTCTCCAGCTGTGAAGGGGGCATTATCAGCCTGCAAACACTGCCTTGAGGATCTTGAAGGAGAGATGCTGCTATTTGAGCGCTAAATCCACTGACAACAGCAGGGTGAATTGATATTCGTATTTGTTTCATAATGACTGTGAGGCAAACTCCTTTGAAAAACAACAATGTTTTTCTTCCCACATCTGCCTTCATAGAAGAATCTTAAAGCAGTTTACAAGCTTTGTCCATAACAAACATATTTATTGGCTAAATATTGATACTTTTGCTTTGAAAATGAGATACGGAGGCATGAAGAATATTGCACTCCTTAGTGAGTGCTTTGAAACATGGGTCTCCTGTTTTCTCCTTTGGAGAGATGGACTCCATCCCCTCTTCAGCTTTGGAAAGAGAGCTCAGGAGCCCTAACTTCAGTCAGCAGGTGTAGTCGCTTGGTGGTAGATCCTGGAGTTAGAAACCCCAGGGGGTCAGGAGCTCTAACCTTACCCATCACAACCTGGTTTAAATCAACCAAGCTCTGCTCTTTTCCCAGAGTTGAAATAAAAACCCCGGAGACTGCCTTGGCCTATGCAGGTTGAATAAAAGGAAGAGGTACCGCTAATCCCTGCTCATAGCCCCTCCTCAGATGCTCAGGTCCCTAAAGGATGCTGTGGACGCTATTGTGCTTACAGTAAGCAACTGAAAGCCCATCCACTTTGTAATCAAATTGTCTAGGAAGCCCCGGTGAGCTGCAATGGCCGGAGGGCACTCATGTGAGGGATCATGTGAAGGCTTTAGCTGTCATTTCGAGGCAGGGCTATTAAAAGTCTTGTGTGGGGCCGATGGAGCTGTTAACCCCTCTTGTTACAATCAGAGCTTTGCTAATCGCATGGTGGGAGAGCCGCTTTGATCTGAGGGGTGGAGGGAAGAGCGAAGGGGCCTTTTCAAGTGCAAATTTCTTATTACAGTGTCTCAGTTAACCCAGTTCTTTTTCTGTCTTGGCTCTGCCGGGCTTTCCATAGTAATTGTGAGAGCAGCTCTCCAGCCCTCTGGCAGCCCGGACCTAACCAGGAGCAGTGAGAAACACCTCCTGTGGTCATCCATCCGTATTTCAAACTAAGTTGCAGGGAAAGCGAGATGGGCTGCTGACGATGGCACTGGTCTTTGTCCCCTCATCGCTTATTTACATGTTATCACAGGGATTTCGTGCTTGCCAAAGGTGCCTGTTTGACAGCCCCGCACGCTTGACTCCTACAAAAGCCTTGGAGGATCGGGCTGAGCCTCCCTGCTGCCCATAGCATTGCAATCCTATTTATTGTGCCCGTCTGTCCAGGAGGTAAAACTTCAGCAGAGGAAATCTTGAGCTTGCTTGAGGAAAACCACCTCTGTGGAAGGTCCTTGGGGACGGCTCGGTGGCAGAGGCTTTTGCTCGTGGCCAGTTATTACTCAATACGTTGGTGTTTTTCGGGGCGTGGAGCACCTGCCCCGTTGCGCTCGCCAGAGCCGAGGGATCACAGTGAAGCGCAGGCAGGCAAGAGTGCCAGGTCCCGCACACTCATAGCAGCACAGCCCGCCGTCTCGCTTTGACACCAGGCACCTCATTGCAAAACTTTCTGATGAAGCACATTTTTTCACAGAAAAACAGGGGGTTTTTTGTTTGTTTTGGTTTTTTTTAACGAATCAGATGTTTCCACTAGGGGAGGAAAAGGATTGCACCTTGCAGGTTTTCAGGCCTTTTTTTAAGTCAAACAAAACAAAAAGCACATAGAAATTTTCCCTGAGTGATGCCATGAGAAGATGGTGACCATTTTCAGACGCCTCAGCCTGGGAGGAGCCCTCAGGGCCAGGAGCGCGTTCCCCCATGCGTGGCAACACGCCCCGAAACCGCACCACCTCCCACCAACGCCTCAAAAGGGCGTTATGGCCGGGGGAGAGCCCTCACGTAGCGATCAGCCGATGTGGAGGCCAATGTCGGCCGGACAGGGCTGAAATTAGTGAGGGAGGAAAAATGAGCGCAGGGCCTTGCCGTCCGCTGTGAGGCGAGGAATGGCGCCGAGGGCCGTGGCGCTGGGTTTCCCTGGGTCTCGCCATCCTGCCTGGCCAGACCCTCCCCGTCCCCTCTCCAGGTGTGCGTGGCGGGGGGTGAGGCCTGTCCCTGCCCTGGCTATGAGGGAGACCCTTTGGTGGGTTTGGGGCCATTGCTGGCCTTGGAGGCCTCCCTGCCCTGGGGGCCTGGTGTGAGGGGCCATCTCCCGAGCGGAGGGGGCTCATCTCAAACCACCCTGCGGCTGCTGGCCCCCGGTGGAGGAGACAGTGTGTCTCTCCCTCACGGTTTTCCCCAAAAGCAGCCATTAGTGACTGGGCATGGAGAGGGGCGCAGAGTCGCTCCCGTCCCTCACAGCCTGTCATGGCGCCGGGCCTGCAGCCTCCCACGCAGCATGGCAGCGCTGAGGGAGCTTCCTCCACCCTCGCGGGTGGCAAGGACTCTCTGGTGCCGACGGTCCCCTCATGCCTTCCCCGTCCCACCTCAGCCCTCCCTGGGGCCGGGTCTGGGGGGGAGCAGGGTGCCCAGCCGCCAGTTCCAGCCATTGGGGCCGGGCTTGCCATGGCCCCCCACACCCCGCCAGCAAAAACATCACGACAGCCTCACCCGCCTCTCAGGAGACTGGAAAAAATATCGCAAGAGAAAGAGGGAAGGAAGGAAGGAAAGAGGCAAAGATAGATAATGGCTTCTTTTTATTTGCCTTCTGCTCTCTGAGTCATGGTTTTCGGTTTTACTCCCCAACCGCAAAGACTAAAACTTTTTTCTTTAAAAAGCCCCATGAAGGTCAAGGTTTGCTTGTAGCCCCATGGCTCTTGGGCTGAGGCTTTAAATACGTCCTTGTCAGACAGGACGATATTGAGCTGTGTCAGAGTATCTTTTTGCACCCAAACCGCTCTCAGCCCTTCTTCCACTTCCTCTCTTTGAAAGCAGCCCCATCTTTCATAACCATGTTGTAAATGAATCATCTCTTTTCTGGCCCTGCGCCCCTGGGAGTTAGATTAAACTTGTTGTTTCTGCTTAATTTCAAGAGATGTGAACTGTGTCCCCACAAAGATGGAGCCCTGAAACGGACCGACAACGGAGGTGAGTACCTCTGCGCAGAGCCGGGTATGTCGTGCAGAGCCTCCAGGGACTCGGCAGCTGTCCCGGGCACAAAATAATTCATTTCTGAGCCTATGTCACCAGAAAGGGAAGGCTGGAGGCTCCAGAGGAATGAAAACACTCTGCCTTTTTCTTACAAAACGTCACTTTCTGAAGCCTCCATGGCGAGAAGACCTTTCCCTGGGGGGGAACCTGCCTGACCTCTGACTGGCATCGAAGCACAGCCCCTGAAATGTGCAGTTTCTTGAGAATCAGTGCACGATCTGGCATTGTTTACAGAAATGTGGAAGTTGTCGAGTTATTTGCTGCACACTTGCACAGCAGCAGTGTGATCCTCAGGTTGACAGAGCCTCAGCCTTGAGTCCCCATCCGAGAGCAGGGACCAGGACGCAGTAAAGATATTTTTCTCTGCAGGACTTATCTGCTCATCATTGATGCTTCTCAGCCTCTGGTGCTGTGAAGTACTGTGGAGTCTGATTTCAGTTGTCAGAGCTCGCAGCTATTGACGCTACTGGCTGTATAGATCAAACTTAATTTGTCTCAAAATCTTATTTTTCAGAAAGGCTTCTGTACCTACCTGCCGCTTACCGTACATAGAGAATTAAATTAGGAGGTCTTTATTATGATAGATCCCATATTTATAGAAGAAGCGCTAAGTCCAGTATATTTTGTAGAAGCATCTGCTAGAGCTAATCATAAGTGCCAAGAGCCTTAGTGCAATAGCACAAGTATCGTGTTGGGGGATTGTTTTATAATAACATAGCATCTTCTTCCAAACATGTTATTACATGGTTTGGTCAGGTCTGTGTAGACAAGCACAAGAAGTGTTACAACCATGTCACTGTACAGAATTATATAGCCCAAGTACTTAGAGTGCTGAATGATTCTGTAATCATGGAGTTTGGTTCCGCCTGCCCAGGTGAATCCGTCCTAATTCTAGCTAAATCCTTCCAGTGCAGTAGCTATACCGGTATGGATCAGCCCCCAAAGGCTCCTGACCTTCAAACTTTCTCAGTTCTGTCCTGACCAGGTGGAATTTCAACTTACACACCTGACTTGGGAAGTGTCTTGGTGGATTTAGATTTTAATCTAACTTGGCTTGCTGAAAAAGAGCCTTCTTTAGCCACTGATAACAGCCAATAAAGGGAGCTTTGTTTCCAGTGGCATGGGACTACACGTCAAACCTGTCCCATCAGCATCATTTACTGCTTGGGTGCTTTTCCTGGGATTGGTTAGGTCTTCAACTCTGGGTTTCAAGTCCTGAGAGGGTGCTTTTAAGAACGATGAGCATTGTACATTTCTTTTCCCAAAGAAATCTCTGCTTTCTTATTTAATCTGGAGCTGGTATCAGTCTGTTTTTCACCCATGAAGGATTTGATTCCTAACCAAGTTACAACAAGCAGTATTTCAAATCTAACATCTAACTTAAGTTGGCTCCCTTCCTACACTCTCTTCCTTCTCTCCCTCCCATGCTTGTTTGCAGCCCTGTCTGAGTTTAAGACTCTTCTGGGTTGCCCCATGTGAATCTCCGCTCTCTGTCTTGTTTGCTTCCCCAGGGTGGGCCCACGTCGTCTGTGCTTTGTACATCCCAGAGGTGCAGTTTGCCAACGTGCTCACCATGGAGCCAATTGTCCTGCAGTATGTACCCCACGACCGCTTCAACAAGGTAAGGTCATCTCTTTCTCCTGCTGCCCCAAGTGTACTTGGCCCGCCTTGACTTTTTGGGGTCATCTTATTCGGCTACGTCTCCTGTCCAATTTATTTTAATACCCAGGTACTCAGATTCCTTTAAAAATAACTAGCAAAGTAAATCCCCATTCCTGCAAAAAACTTTTTGGTCCTCCATTTCTCTCTTCCCCAACTCCCTGCAACTTGAGCAATCTCTGCCTTGGAGTTGCATGTTGGTTGCTCCATATTTCTATCTGACACAGTTGTTATCTGGGGAGAAAAAGAAGATGCGTGGGTTTTGTGCATGCCACTGAGCTGTTGTCATAGGAGGGAGATGACTGGACAAAGAGTTAAGAGTTCTTGAAGGCTTTGCCTCCTGGTGAACAGTGAGAGTGGAGTAGACGTTTTGTCTGCCTCTCTGAGTGAACACTTCTCCTTGTTTTTGCAGACTTGCTACATTTGTGAAGAGCAGGGCAGGGAGAGCAAAGCCGCCTCTGGAGCATGCATGGCCTGTAACCGACACGGCTGCCGGCAAGCTTTCCATGTCACCTGGTGAGTTCCCCCCAGCATCACCCCAAGAATAGCCCCAGCTATTGGTTTTGCTGCTATGGCTTTGAGGCCACAGCAAACGGGTGGTGTGGCGAGTTGGGCTAATCACCCTGGGTTTATTTTGTGCAAGGGGTATCTCATCCTTGCTCAGTTTGTGAGGGGAACTTCCCCAGGAAGGCTGAGGTTTCACCAGTGAGCCTTCCCTGCTGAGAACAAGGCTGGGGATTTCCCTAAGACTGTGTGGAATCCAAGAAGAGAGGAGATGAGTCACAACCCAGGAATGTTCCTTCTCCAGCAGAGCACATGCAACAGTATCATCTAGATGATGTGATTTTAAGGGCTGATATCCTCATGTACCCTCGCAGCCTGAAAACAACATTGCCTATCAGCAGAACAGGGAGATTCCCAGCTTTACATGGATTCCTTGCTCGTGTTATGTCTTTTGTTGGAACTGTTACTGGTCTCTCAGGCCTCTCTTAAGAAAAACACAAATTGCAAGACAATCTGGTAGAAAAGTACTGACAATTTTGAAGATCTTAATATGAATTAAAAATAGACTGAGCTTTTTTCCCCCTCCTTGCATACCATTTGCCAAGTAGAACAGGAAACTTCAAGACCCTGCCTGGGCATCCTGAACTATTCTTTGCCCTTTGATGGGATATGTGGTCTGGTTGTAAAATTTGCTTTATCCTCCTCCTAATTGCATGTATTTCAGTGCCCAGATGGCTGGCCTCTTATGTGAAGAGGAAGTCCTGGAAGTCGACAATGTCAAATATTGTGGCTACTGCAAGTACCACTTCAATAAAATGGTGAGTTTCTTCATCCCTGCAACGGAGTTTTTTTGTCACATATAAGGCATCATCTTCATCCTAGATTGTATCTGCGCTCAAAGCAGTGAGAAATGCCAGGAACACATAAGCAAGGTCTGCAGCCTGCTTCCCTTTTCAGCCATTCAGTCAAAGTCATTTAGGAGTAAAGCTTAATTTATGTTTTGCATTTCTATAGCATCTTTAAACCCATTTTCAAAGCTAGGGGTTGAATTCTTCCCATCTGTTTTGGCTTCCCTGACCCACTCTGTATGGCTGAAAGATAAGTCCCAAGAAAGGAGAGCAGCTGTGATGTTTGGTGCTCCAGGGAGTTAGGGGTATAGCTCAGGCACCCTAGGCAGGAGGGTGTAACACAGAACAGCCAGAACTTCTGCCTGAGGACAGAGACAGCCCAGAAGAGACATGGAGTCGTTCACTGTTTGAGGGGTATTTGGGGCAAAGGACTTTCCCCTATTAATTACAGTACCAAGAGGAAAGAGAGGAACCCTTTTCCTGTCCTGCATAATTAGTAGACACCTGCTCTCCCCCCTCCAGCAAAAAGGAAACTTGATCCTCTCGCTACAGCTTTATGTCTCAGTGGCTCCTTTGTTGCTGGTCTTTCCCACTTTCCTTGCTGCTTATCAGTGCTGTCACGTACAGTGACTGATGTCTTGAGCTTCCCCTCAAAGTCAAATTGGAGGACACCTTCCCTGCCCTTCAGGTACCCTCAGTATCTGACACAAGTGTAGCTCTGTATCAAGTTTACTGATGCTGAGGTAGATAGCAGGACTTCTGGAGTCTGAGGGCAGGGCATCCTTCCACACACACCCCACGCCCCACTCAAGACTGAAAGCTGGACACGGCTGTTCAGGACTGGCTTGTCTAAGCAACATTGCTGCTGCCGTTTATCTTGTTGTTTACAGAATGGTCTCTTAGCAGCTGTGCTTTTCTTCTTACAAGTGTCAGTGTGCATGGGCCACCAAGAACCAAAGATCTGGGGAGTTACATCTACATGCTGTTTGTAAGCCCACTAATAGGGTATCCACTGTGGTCCCACTGTGTTAGGAACCAGACTGGGCATCTGGTACAAATAGAATTTGGTCTTGCGTGTGGTAGACACGCCATTTACTGTAACATTGCTCACTGTAACCATGAAAGCTGGACTCTATAACACTGTTTCCTGTCTCTCTCTTTTTGCTCCTGTTCGCCACTTCCTCTCCCCTTCCCCACTTACCTCAGAAGACCTCACGTCACTCTGGAGGTAGCTCCTTCATTGCTGGAAGAAGAAGTCGATCCACGTCCCCTGCTCAAGAGAAGCACGTATCCCACCACGAAAGGCCAAAGAAGGTAAGATCTGCACAGAGTTTGTCAATCCAGAGAGGCAGAGTCATGTGGAATGGAGGTGAGAAGGGGAGGAGCGTGCAAAGAGCACCGATGGCTCCTCAGATGAGCCCTGACTCTGTAAAGAGTTTCACAGTCAGAGATCTGAATAGTGGCTGCGTTTTTAAACAGGCCTCTAGAAATGTGTATGCAAATAGAGCAGCACAACCATGGGGAATGTGAGGCCAAGTTTGCATGTTCAGATGGTGCCAGAAGGGTCCTGGCAGAACATGCCTATGAAACGTGCCTATGAAACGTCCCCTTTCTGTCTTGTGGCAAGTCCACTTTGAGGATGACATTATGCTATGGTTTCCTGCTACTGAGTTGATCTGTGTCGAAGTAGTTCGGTTTTAAATGCAGCAGCTCGAAAACAGAAAATTGGAGGTTGTTATCCTCAGATCCCAGAGTCCAAGTTTTAAAGGACAAAAGGATACTGATTAGTAATCTGCATTGTGGCCAGCAGGTTAATTGTAGGCAAGAACAATAATTAGTATAAACTAGGTAGTATTTTGTTAGTTAGATTAGGCAGTCACAGGGATTCCACCTGCCTCAAGTCTACCTGGGGAAATAGTTTATCTTCGTTAAATGATTGTTTAGAAGAACTTCGCATGCCAGATCTGACTGGTACAATAGTTAGTTGTTTAACATTACTGGTTAAGATGTACTCATCAAAACTGCTGCAGTGTTACAGGACATATTAACAGCACACCAAGGTTCATAATTAACCAACTGACTCACGTGACAAATGCTCATATTTCAAGGAAAAGCAGCAGTGAAGGTACAAGGCAGAATCCCAGCAGACTCCTGGGTTCTGACAAGGGTGCAGGTTCCAGGGTGGAAGGGACTGTACCAAAAGAAATGAAGAGGCCAAAGGCTTGTGACGTATTTGTTATTTATAACAATAAATAGCCCTAAAAGGCAGGACACACGTTTTTTGGAGGATTCGGGTTCTAAGTCAAGTGGCAGCAGAACAAGAAATCTTCCCTACCCCTTGATACAGCTTTCGCAATATCAAGAATCCACAACGTAGTAGTGCCACCTTCCTTTGCCCCCTGTCTATCCAAAGCAATGGGGTAGGATCTGAAGCAGGAATCACTTATACAGGGATACTGTCAGTATGGTCAGATATTTTTAATACTTCATGGTCTGTATCCTGGTTTTTGTTAGCAGAAATCCAGAATTACTCTACCAAGCAACCTCTGGATATATTCCACTATAGTCAAAAGCCAAATTTACCTTGTTGTATAAACACAGTTGGTGATACCCCTGCAAATCGCAGTGTGAATCTTTTAAGTCTTGCCATAGGTGTCTGACTGTTTACTTCTTTTTTGTTTGTTTTTGTCTTGTTGCAGTAGGCATCCTCACAATGCGTAAATGATTTTGAATGGTAATGATAGTGACCCACATCCAGAAATAGCCCGATGACACTCCGGTGGGTTTTGTGGCCTAAGTCTGATGGATCTCAGCCCAGTCTCCAGGGGACAAGGGCATCCAGGCTTTCAAAAGCAGTACAGCCATCAGTTAATACTGACTGACACCCTCCTGGCATGCCCAGCTGAGAGTCCGTAAATTCTGTGGGCAGGAAAGCCATCTCCTTCTTTATTTACAGAGGTTATCCCGCAATATCCAGTTTGAAACACTGCCCACCATGTCCATTACGTATTTGGGAAGCTTGCCCAAACCGTACCTGATACGTGGGCAAACAAGGCAAACCTCACTTACGAAGTCTGACTGACACCCTCCTGGCATGCCCAGCTGAGAGTCCGTAAATTCTGTGGGCAGGAAAGCCATCTCCTTCTTTATTTACAGAGGTTATCCCGCAATATCCAGTTTGAAACACTGCCCACCATGTCCATTACGTATTTGGGAAGCTTGCCCAAACCGTACCTGATCCGTGGGCAAACAAGGCAAACCTCACTTACGAAGTGGTGCCTCCCCTGCTGCCGACACCAAGTCAGTAAATTTCCTACCGCCGACCAGGCTAAAGCGTGTGGGGAGTATTTACTCCCCTTGTGTGTTCAGCTGCTGCGAGGAGAGGAGGAGGTGGGAAGGAGAAAGAGCATCTGTGCCATGGACGGGGAGCGAGCGCTTGGCACAAGGTGAAGGGCTGTACTGGAACGTGCTATTTTTAGCCAACAAGCAGGCAGAGGGGCTGGGAGAGAGGGCAGGATCGGGGTGATTGACGGCAGCTTTGGAGAGCTCAGCTGTAATTATAACTGACAGCCTGTGCAAGTCCAAGGCTGGGGACCGTACGAGGGTTTCTATATTTGCACAGCTTCTGGTGGCAGGGGTGGGAGCGCAGTCACGTGCCTGGCAGGTAGGAGCAGGGGAGGTGCTGCTTCCCGGCTTTAGTTGGAAAGCAGGTCAGCGCCAGGGGGAGAGCGAAAACAGGAGGAATACGGATTTATTTATAGGCTTCTCAGTGGCGCTTGCCACTATTGTTAGCCTCTGGGTTCCTCAAAAACGTGCAGAGGCTCCGTCTCGCTGCTGCCTCACCACTCTCCCCTCCTGATGGCTCATCGGGTTTGCGAGCAGCAGATCCGATGGAGGCCCCTTCCAGAGCCGGGATTGCTTGGCAGGGCCGCAGCACAAGTGCAAAATCAACTCCTTCCACTTAGAGAGGGGGAGTCAGCACGGAAAGGGGGATGAGGTGTGCAAAGCTGAGATGGGCAAGGTATGGAAGGCACTCTCGGCTTCCAGGGTTGTTGGGTAGTTTACAGGTCTAAGAGTGGTTATGAAGTGCAGGGAGGAAGGACTGGGTGTGAGGCAGTGTGGGAACAGAGACCTTTCGAAGGGGTACCCGAAGAGGGGGTTGAACCATTAGTTCCCACATGGTTTTGGAGTACGTGACTAGCAGTGCATGATCTAATTGTACATGTTTCAGGGGAACTGGGCGTGCTGCTGTGCTGACCTGAAGTAGAACAGCTTTTTCTTGAGCCTGTCCAGCTGTGCAGCCGGCTGGTCCCGTCCTCCCGGAGCTGGAGGCGTTGCAGGGGAGCTGATCGCTCAGCGGCAGACCAAAGCGTGTGTGTGAGTCCCCGGGCTGCAGGTGCTCATGTCTCTCTGCTCCAGAAGGAGTTCAGTTCCTGACAGCTCTCTTCCAGTTCAGGGCTGTGGCTGCTTACTTAGGCTTTACAGAGGAAAACTCTGGCTAAGTTAATGACTAAGTGAGGGAAAAGCAAAGACTCAGGATTTGGACTCCTAAGCCCTGCTGTAAAACAGTTCAGCATTTGTGAAGAGTCTTGTTCTCTGTGGAACAAGGGACAATTGTGATGTGGGACTGCAAGCCAGCGTCGGCATCCCCCGCCTTTTGCAGGCGCAAACGATGCCAGCCCAAGCATTTCCTTCTGTGGTGTCCTGAAAACGGGAAAGCTCCAGGCTTTGGGTTTTCCCCAGAACATACCAGGCCTCAGCAAAACCAGCCCCATTTATTTCTTTGGGGTTGGTATTGCAATGTGCTCTACCCTGTGGGAGCCTTTGCAGAATTTGTTTGTTTAAAAAAAGAAAGAAGAAAGAAAGAAAGAAAACAATAGCTAAATACCAAGAAAATGCTGGATGACGCACAGAGGTTGAATGAAGTACAGATGTTCTGTCACCTACATTGTCTGCTTGAAACACACAGAAAAAAATTACCATGCTCTGAGGAATGAAATTTGTCACACCAGGAGCAGACGGGAGCACATGCACTACCGCATTTTTAGGCATATACCCCATGGAGGGAGACACTTGTCCAGTGTTATTCTTAGTGAACACCTGGAACCCATAAGCAAAATCAGGGGACTTTTAATTTGGATATGGGACATTGTTATGAGAGGAACGGTCCCTGCCCAGTGGCATAGGAAAAAGAGGCAGGCACTTGGAGCAAATAAGCCCACCTGCAGTTGTTCCTCAGGTCTGGGTACTGAGCCAGTTCTCCACAATCATAACAGACCTTTAGCTCCTGAACTGCTTCTCTACCCACGGCGGGGGGCACTTTATGGGGGTACAGGGGCCGTCTCTGTCCTGCCCCCCTTATCCCTTTAGCACCAGCCAGAGCGGTGCACGAGCCCCCGGTCCCACGGCGTCTGAGCAGATGTACGGAGGAGCCTGCCTCCCCGCTGCCATTGCGTGTCTGTCTAGACCTGGTGCCAGTGGAGGAAACGAGCCAAGGGTCCAGCCTGGCAGATTTAGCACGCTGGAGAAGTTGTACGAGGCTGAAATCTAAGCCCAGTGGGTCTGAGGGGCTTTGTGTTTCCAGTCGGTGACAGAGGTCTACCTCTTGGAGTTTTGTGTCCACACAGGGCAAAGTGGACATTTTATTCAAGTGGGATGTGGGTGGCTGCTTGCAAGACCAGCACAGGCCTTTTGGGAAGGAGTACTGAATCTAAATCTACTCTGATCTAGCTATAGAAGCCTTGTTTTATAGCATCCTTGACCGGCTTTCTGTGACCTCTGGTTATGTGGGTGTTTAACCGCCCCTAGCAAATCCTTCCAGTAGCAGGGGGTGCAGCAGTAATTTGAGAGTACGCGAAGCCCGGCGAGGGCTGGCTGTGTGGCCTTGTGTAAAAACTCTGACACATTCAGAGTGCGTCTCAAGGCAAACCCGTGAAATCCCCAGCACGACCCTGGTGCAAGGGAGGTTGCAGGCAAGGGCTTAGTGTCCCTCTGCCCGGTGCTGCCTTCCTCCTTGCTGCAGCTGCCATGGCTGCAGAGCCAGGCCTCCTCCTCCGGGTGAGGGAGTTCAGAGAGCCTGGGAAAGAGGGAGGGAGCAGCAAAGCCCACTTGGCTCTTCCCAGTTCTTCCCTCCCTCCTTCTCCTGCCCAATCTACTTTTAATGATCCAATTGCTGGTGTCCAGCAGATTAGAAGAGGGGGCTCGGGGAAGGGGAGACGGCGGTGGGGGGAGCAAGAGGAGCTGTGCACAACCCTTTTTGGCAGCGAGAGATCCTGTTTCGTTCCTCCTGCGCTGGGGAGCTCGAAGGGAGATTGTGTCGCCGGCACGCCCCCGATGCAGCCGCGCTCCCCCCGCCGCAGGCCTGGCCTGCTCCATGCCCACATGCCAAGCCCCAGCTGCTCAGTCCTGCATGGGGAGAGTTTGTTTTCCATGAAGTTTGTTGCTGGGGGCAGGTTCACGTTCCCTGCAGACTGCAGCTCACCCAGCCAGCCAGCCTGCTGCAGGGACCGCCGAGCGGCTGCAAGGTAGGGCTTGGCTTTTGCTTGCAAAGATGGGATGGGGGTGTTGAAAGGTTTCCTGCTCTCACGATGCATCCTCCCTCCCTCCTCCTCCCCTGACTCCTGCTTCATGGCACAGCCAGGCAGGTCTCTGTGGACAGGCTGGGCTGTTGGCAGTGGCTGTGTTGTCTGTGAAGTTTCCTGGAAGGAGGGTTTACAGAGGAGAGTGCCTGTGTGCCAGGGAGATGGAGTGTTGGATGCAGAAAAGCCAGATGGGGAGAGGGCACTTGAGAGGTAGGGGAGAGTGTTGCTTCCCCCTTGTCCCTTTGCCCTCCCCTCCCTTTGTGCCCTGCGGCTCTTGCAGGAAGCATTTGGAGCCTTCCAGTTCCCGGAGAGAACCCACACGTTTAAAAGCCTCTGGTGCAAGCTGGGGAACGCCCCGGGTTGTCTGAGGGCCTGTCCACACAGGCAAGATAGCCAGGAGTGACTGAGCACCCTGACTGTCTCAGTGCCGTGGCCTCTGCGGGCAGCTGAAGTAACCTTCCCACCAGTGCCTTGGCCTGGGGGCAGCCTGGCCCGTCTGCAAAATATCCATGGGGTAACAGAGTTAATTGTCTTGCCCATTTAACACAGGGCACTGCATTTCTCCAGTAATATTGAAGAAGGTGTCAGATCCTGTTGCCCTTCTGAGTACCCAAAAGTATTAGAGAGTAACTGGAGGGTGGAAGATGGGTGCTACTGGGTGTGCAAAGGCAATGGGCATCCCAACTCTGCAAAGCTTTAGGGCTGCTGGCTGCAGCCCAGAGAGCTCCTGGGTACCGGCTCCTGTGGGTTTCTGCTCTGCCCGAGCAGGAGTGACACAGAGAGCCCAGAGAGGAGGTGGTGTGGGAGAGGGAGAAGTCCCGACGGAGGAGCAAGGTGTGCCTATGGGCATGGCCTGGGGCTGCGTGCAGGGACACCCAGCAGAAGTGCCGTTGAGCTCCTCATCAGGCTGTGGTGGTTCTGGTTTCAGTGCAGTCTTTTGAGCAGAGCACGAAGACTGGTCTCTGTGGGATAGATTTTCTAAATAGTTTGAGTGCAGTTGCTCAGCACATGTACTTGGGGCCAGATCTTCAAAAGAGCTCAATACCCAGCATTTAGCTTTTTGGAAAACCTGACCATTTATTCAAGCATCTAAATGGGAGCTGAGGCATTCCAGAAATCTGGTCCCTATTGTGCAGGCTGGGTTCTTGCTGAATATGTACATATGTACGTACTCCTACATATAACCAGAGGACTGCTCAGTTAGCTGTTGTAGACTCTGCGCTGCCGACAGCGAAGGGAGATTTTTCAGACAGGACACAGCCAGGATTTTGAAGCTGGAGGATGTGAGTTTGGTGGTTGCCATCACAATGAAACTGTGGGAGGTTTTATGGTTCACTGTGGTGACAGTCAAGACATTTCTGCTTTTCCCCGTGTGTGTGTGTGTGCGTATGTAGGTGTGTAGGTTCATTGTCATTAACCAAAGTGGCTTGGCTCTGCCTTGTCTCATCTTGACCATGATACGTGAAATTAAATCATTACAGTGCTGTCTCGCTGGCGTTTGCAGTGTTGTGTCTTATTCTCTCCTGTTGCAACTTCATGATTGAAATGCATTTGGGATTCAGGGTCTGAAAATGAGAGAATAAGCTTTGTGGTATTCAGAAAGTTTAAGGACCAGGGTTTGTGCAGTTGTTTGGCAAAATGTATTGTAATGAGGTGTCTGGCTCCTGTTTTCCATTTCTGGCTTCCATGAGTGGCATTGGCAGCATAGGCAAGCGTGTGTCCAGGTGGGGTGGGGATACCTGACTTTTCTTTCTGAATTTTTGGGTGACTTTCTGTGAAATCTTAGCAAGCTCTCTCATCCCATGTGCCCTGGTTTCCCCATTTGTAAAATGAGATGTAGATATTAAAAACCTCTCTTCAGCTTGTTGAAACTCTCTGCTGTGTGCTATTAAGTGGGTGCAAATTGTTACTACTACTGGAATAATGAACACTGATGTGCACATGGTCTGTGACAAGCTGCTTAACTAACTGGGCCACGGTTTCCCCATCTTCCTGTCCTAGAAGACCCATGAGACTTAGAGTTTATAGCACAAGAAGCCCCCAAGTATTTAAAACATTATGAGATTTAGTAAAGATTTAATTTTAATTTGTCTTTTGGCACTTAGTCTGTAGAAATCACATTTTCAAGCTTTCCTTGTTCACTGCCAAAGCTGGAAATGTGTATTAAAGAAAGGGAAGAAAAGAAAACAGAGATTCTTGTAAAATACTGTAGCTCTAGGAACGGTGTCTTTAACAGATATGCCAAACGCCAGAAGTCTTTTGATAAAGTGATGGATTTTAGCAGTGTTGGTCGGGCACTCAGCAAGTGCAGTGAAGCTCTAGGCTGGATTTGGCTCCTTTTTTCACCAGCTCATCCCAGTGAAAGCTTCTGTGGCATCATGGCAGGCTTATACTGGCAGGGTCACTGGTGGCTGCAGCATGGGCCTCCTTTTCGAGTGCTTTGAAAATTCAACCAAACCCACACTGGAAGGTGCTGATTTCTGGAGCACTTTTGCTTCACCTCTGCTTCACTTTATGCCTGTCTTCTCCAGCCTTTTCCTCCTGCCCTCTCCCTCCTCCAGCCTCTTTTTTTTCCCCATTTAGTGTATTGTTTCCTAAGCTAATTATTCCACTCTCTTCTCTCCCTCCCAAAAACACACAGTGGAGCTCATGTATTTGCTGCAATCGCATCTTCCCCTGACAGCATCCCATCTTTGGCATGTGCTGGCAGCTGTAGCCTCAGGGCTTTGCCTGCATGAGGAAGCAATCAGCGTCTTTCTGGAGAATCAATGAATTTCAGCGTGACTCTTCTGTTCTGAACGCACCTTCAGCCCAGACTGAGGACTTCAGCTCCTAGAATAAAACGCCCACGTGAGGGAGTTGTACCAGAATAGGCATCCTTTCCCACAAAAAGGTCTCAGAGACAAGAGGATGGATTTTTCTAAGCCCTGCATCTCATGCAGGTGTTTATCTGACAGCAGGTCTCTTGGTCCGCACACCAGTGACCACACTGGGAAGTTCAGAACTCAGCACAAAAGTTTCTGCAGCTTCAGCGAAGGCAGCCACATCTTTAGTTGGCATTGGTAGCATGGAAAAGCTCCTGTAGTCAGCTGAGTGTGTTCCCACGGGAGCGCGCAGCTGAGGAAGACAGGGAGGAAGCAGGAGTGTGTGATAGAGCATGCTTTTCTATCCATCTATCCTGTATGCCAGCTGGCCTGGGCATCCTCAAGCCCCACTTACTTGAGGTCACACTGGCCTATGTTTTCAATCCTTTCACTGGAAACATCTCAGTTTTAGCATAAACATCCAGAGAGCGCTATATAAGAATAGCCTCCTCGGTTACAGTCTGTTCCTCAAGAGAATATAAAATCAGGGTGGGCAGGACTCAGTGTTTCTCAGGCCATGATTTTTCCTTGCTTTGCAATTTGAAGAATCTCATTTTTCTGGGGTTTTAGTGCGAGGGAAGAAACCAGGATGAAGAAATCAAACTAAATAATCTGTCTCCTGTTAGCAGAGATGGACCCAGACCAACTGTCTCTGTTGGGAGGGGAGATGTGGGGGATCTGTAGGTTAGGTTCAAGCCTAGGTTCTGAAATCTCTGCTGACTGATCTCTTTACCCGTGCACGTGCAACACGTGCTGAAATCAAGATTCTCCCATTGGCTGTACAGAGTGGATCTGAGAAACCCTTGAAGAAGGTAGAGAGCGAGGGTAAGGGGGCACCGAGTCCCTTTGGGGAAATAGCAAGAGGAAAGCTCAGGTTTCTTGAAATCAGCCAGAGCTTGTTAAGTCCTTCCCTATCATCTTACCATAAACTGATTTGGGGGCTTCTGTTGATATTCTGCACTCCAGATGTTGGCTGCAGCTGGGGTAGAGATAGTGGGACGCTCCCAGCCAGAAGCTGGGATGTGGGGGAAGGGATACTGGGCTTGTGTGGATGGGTGGAGAAGGAAAGAGGAATATGAATGTATGGTTGTAAATCCACCCCTACACACCCTCCTTTCTTTTCCCTTACAACTGCTATTCTCAGCAGAGGAAAAGTTAGCCTTCCAGTACTCTCTGATTTCTTTTGCAGAGTCGGAAGGACAAAGAAAGACCTAAACAGAAGCACAAAAAACGTCCGGAGTCTCCCACCAGCCTTACCCCATCCTCGGTGCCCGTCGCTGCAGAGAAGGTACCAAACCCACTGATCGCGAGCATGTGAATGCAGAGTGGGGAGGGAGGGCAGGGGGAAACCATCGACGCTGGCTTTCCTAGGAAGAGGGGAGGACAGGGCAGAAGAGCAGAGAAAGGGCTTTTGTCCATTTATTTTGATTCCTGATTCGTCACATTCTCGCTCTCTCTGCCTGACTCCCCACCTCGACGCCCACCTTGGGAATTTAACACGGCAGCTGTCTTGATTTCTGTCAGCACTGACGACACAATCGTGGAGCTAAAATCCCAAGTGATTGAGCTGTAAGTGCCAGCCTGTTTTGCAGCAGATGTTCAGATTTGAAGCTCTCGCGGAATAGATAAATATCCATGCTTTGGCCTTTTCTGCTGCCACATTGTAAACAGCTCGGGCAGGTGGATAAGCAAGGCAAGGCTTGTGGGAGGAGGTGTTATCCTTTATTAGACAAACTGATGCAGCTGAGGGGAAAAAAAACCCCAGACAATCTTAGAAGCACGTAAGATCTTCAAAGTGCATAATAGAGGTAGCTTTTCTGTGTGAGACAATAGGAGGTTGGTTTCTATTTAGTTCCTTCATTTCAGGAAAATTCAGGCAGAGGGGCACAGTGTGGTGGCCTGTTTTGCCCCTGAGGTGTAGAGGCAGTCCAGTTCTCTGCTGGGAAGATGTTGCTTGTGTGGGTTTGTCTTCTCAGTGCCCAAGGCTTGTGGGGCTGGTGGGGCACAGTCAGGATGTCAGTGTATTTCTGCTATTCACTGCTGAAATCGTGCTGCTGACATGGACTCTTGCACCTGGCTGTAAATCAGGATAGCCCTGAGCTTTCTGTGATTCATGCCAGCCCCAAACTCCAGTAATGCAGAATAGACACAATGGAACTTGCCTCGAGCTTGCATGCAACAAGGTGAGGGCCAAGTTTGCAGTTGTTCGGGGTCAGGGAACAAGTGAGCTTACTCCAGCACCTGGACCTTTGGAGTTGTACTCTCCTCTCTGTAGTGGGAATGTAAATTAATGCAACTCCTTAGCAGGGCTGTTCTGGTGTAAGTGAGAGTAGGACTAGGGCCAAGCTCCTGCTAGAACAAATAAACAACATGTCCCAGGAATGTCCTTTTGTGCACAGAAATGCTACTTGGAAAGGCTTGGGTGTCCTTTACGTGCCTTGTGAAAATGAAAATTCACGGACTAGCAGTGTCTGCATATGTGACAAGCACTGCAGGGGCAGTCTGGAAGAGCGAAAGCTCCTGCCAGTCAGCACAGGGTTGCTTTGGGTTAGGACTGAAGAGGATTTTCTGTGTTCTGTGTGAGGCCAAGCCTGGAAGCAGGGAGTAGATGTAGGTCAGAGCTGAAATGGCAAAGCTGGTCTCATGGTTCTCAGGCTGGGAGAGGCAGAAAGTTAGAGCGGGACAGAGTGGAGGAACAACCTGTGAGCTGCAATCGCCCTTGATTTACCTGTGCTCATGTTGGGGCAGCTCAGCTCTGGCTTTTGGGAACAGCAGATTCACCCAGTTAACAGAGCTGTCAGGAACTGATGGCCTAAGAAGATTATTTTCAAGCTGAACTGAAATCCAAAACCTGACTCTTGGCCAGCTAGAGCAGTTGTTAGACAATTACCCACTGTGTCCCTCCAAAGCCCTGCCAGACCTTTATAAATAAGGAGGGAAGGGTGCAATTCAGTTTTACAGGCAGCTTTCAACTCTTTGTAAGCTAAAATTCAGGAGATCCTAATTACTGTAGCTGTACTTGAGTGACAGGGTTTTAGTGTTTCCCTAGGGAGTTATTATTAATCCTCATAACAGAAAGTGTATTTGCCTTGCTTTTTTGTGCATAGATCCCAAAGTATTGTTCAAACTCTGTTACCAAAGGTACTCACTCCAGATCGAAATGTAAGAGCTGCTCAGCAGCCTGCTACAACCCCGCACAAACCCCTCGGGGGGTGGTTGTATGAGGCTTTCTGGATAGTTGCACCAGTGTAACATTGCACAGGTTAGACTAATGTAAAACCTTGAGACACATTAATGTAGCATGTCCAAACAGGTTTCCTCTTGGAAGCCAAAACCACCTCTGTCCTTTCTGGGTCTTAGACTAGTACAGCTCATCCCAGTAAAGTGTAGTGGGGAGTGGGTAGAGTAGATGCAGCAAACCAAAAGCTGATGTTCATGGAGTGACTAAACAGAAGAGCATTGCTAGTCCCTGCTGTGCCATGGTTAGAGTCTGAAGAGAGCTGGCGTCTCTTCCTCTCCTTACCACCTGCGTGATCTTGGGTAAATAATTTATCGCTTCCGTGGTCTTCTCCAAGTTACCCAATGAACCAGAGCATAAACTCCCCAGGGATAATCTCTGAAGGTGACACAACCCCCAGTCTTCCGTGGGGAGCAGCTGGGTGAGAGCAGATCTCAATGGCCTGCAGCAGTGAGGGCAGATGGTCGTGTCCAGGCTCCTGGGAGGAAGACGCTGGCCTGGAGTAGCCTTGCGGAGCCATGGGAGGCTGGTGCAGCCCTTGATGTCCGTGCCAGACCCATGCTGCCAGCTCGCCATGCTGCTCGCACCGTAGCCAAAGTGGTACCACACACAGTGAGTCCCAGGCTCGCGTCCTGGTGCGCAGGCTGTGCTGGAGCAGGGATTGGACTGGGGGCACTGGGCATCACCAGTGTTTTGGAGCCGACAATGAGGAGCAGAAACATCAGTCAGACGAGTTAGCAGAAGGGCCCTGGCACCGCTTGCTCCTTGGGCACTGGGACTGCGGTCAGACTGTAGTGTGGCACCAGCCAGAAGGCCATGGAGAGGTGTTACTAGTACCTGAAGCCACGCTCCAGTCTGCTCCCAGTTTGCTCAGCCTAAAAGGAGCCTGGGGCAACAGAGCCCCAGTGCCTGATGTTGCTACCAAAGTCCTTTGAAACTTTCAGCAACCCTTTAATAATGGATTTTCAGAACTACATAGAAAATCAGTAGGACTTTTCAAGCTACTTCAGGTTAGGCTGACTAGCAGTGGAACTATGTTTCATTGCTTTGGAGGAACAGTGGTATATCCCACATCCTTGTTCGCTCAGGCAGCCTGGCCTCTGGGTTCACGTTTTTCTTTAATTTTACAATCCAGATTTATTTTTCAGTTCCAATTTTCACCTAATACGTCGTCCACCCTGTGCTCTCCTCTTGAACCATTTAGTTATGAAGAAGATCCTTTGATGTGGTTTCAGTCTTCCTCTTGAAATCAATTGTGCTAGACCTTTGACTTCTGCCAGATTTTGAACATCTCACTGAGTGCTTCCCTGCATCTTCTAAGAATCTAAATACCATTAATATCTGACACTTGGACTCTGCCAGGCCTCCGTGTCCTGTCTGTGCAGTGACAAGCTCTCACTGCCTCACTCTGGTTTCGGGGATAAACACACTGAAAACACAATGGTGGCCTCAGCTCTCATCTACACCGGAAAGTGAAACTAGGGTGTGAATTCACAGCATGCAAAACGACTCTTCGTAACACCTCTTCGGAGCTCTCCTCCTGCCTCTAAAAAGTGTCTTTGGGCAATGTGATTTTCATCGCTCTCAAAGAGGGGCAGGACACTCGTGGGGCACAGGAGCGTCCCTTCCAGAGAGCAAGCAGAGCGGCTGATCTGCTGAAAATCCCCAGTGGTGCTCCAGGGCTGGGGCTTTTGGATGGATTGAGGGGGATTGCAGACAGTGGATTTGTGCTGGATATAGGCTCCCATTCGTTGTCATGCTGGCTACTTGGAGCTCCTACAGGCTTTTTGGGGAGTGGGAAGGAGGCAGAAAACATCCCCTCTGGGTAATAGTTTCTGGCTATTTCACGTGGTCTATCCAAAAATGCCAGAATGCTGCCAACCAGTAACGCTTTTGAACAGCCTGTTGGAAAGATGGCATTCATGGAGCGGGCCTGGGGCAGAGGAGGGTTTCTCGCCAGGGGAGGAGCAGTGAGTCTCACCAATGAGTCTTGGCAGCCAGGGCTGCTCCGTCCCTGTAGTCACACACCGCCAGACAAATTCAGGAGGCAGTTTCTGTGCTCAAGATCTCTCTGTGTAGCTGGTGCCTGGTGCTGGGATCGGGGTTAGTGAGCAGCCGAACGGCAAGCAGCGTGCCTCTCCCCTCCTCCTGCAAATGCCCCTGGGGAGCCATGCTGCTGCTCTCTGTTGCACTTGCAGTAAATCTGCAGGATTGCAAGCCACCCCAGCTGCCTTCTTCTGCCAGCTGCAGACATCATGATCACTTGTTGACACACACTCACACATGCTACGTGTTTTGGGCTGCAACATCTGGCTTGCTCTGGGTTTTGTAATCTAAGCCGTGGATGCCAAGGCCTCCCCGCACCCACCCTCTCCCAGTCAGGTGCTGGAGAGGGAGCACAGCAGGGCGAAGAGCACGCGATTGCAGATGCCACGGGAGGCAGGGAGACTTTCCAGGTTTCCCACTGTTATTTGAGCTCTCGGCATCTACCCAGGACTGGCCTGGAGCTGACAGATCCTGGGAACCTCTGCACTGCGCCTGGCTCAGGGTAATTCACAGTCGCTGGGGAGGGGTAGGGGTTTGTGGGGGAAGGCTGATGATTACCCCTGCTAATCAAAGCATGTCTCAGCATGGATATTTGCAGTAAGAATCCCTGAACCTTTTAGCATCCCTTGTCCTGACATGAGTGGGAATTTGCCAGTGACATCAGGGACTAAAAAATACGGTCTTCAGCCCATCTGTGTCTCCTATCCCCACCTACAAAGAACAGCAGCACAGTGCTGCCTGATCTCGAGGTTGAGGGGAAGGACATGGTAAAGGTTGCGAGTGGCTCAGACACAGAGGTGCCGCAGCTTGTGCAAGCGCTTTGGCCCGGAGCTCCTGATGGAGACTCTGACCTCTACCTAGCGATCCAGCGTGGAAAGGCAGCTGGTGCTTACAGCCTGCCTGGGTGGCTGCTTCAGCAGCCTGTGGTGCGTGGGCTGGAGGAGCTCCTGCTCTCGTCGCATTGTTCCTCGTTCGCGTCCTCCCTGCTTCCCCTCACCAGTAGTTTAATCCAGGGCAAAGCCGCCCTGTGTTTCCGACGCGGCGCCAGCCTCCCCCACCCCTTCTGTATTTCGTCAGTGGTTCCCTCTAGGAGCTCGTCCCGCCAATCAGGAGGCAAAGAGATGCTCTTCTGATTTCCCATAAATAAATTAATGAATGAAGAGCTTGGGTGCTGCACAGTGTCACAGAGAGGCCAGGAAACAGGTACAGCCCCTCCGGGGACAGCCCGTGCCGGGGGGAGGAGGTGCGTGCATGCCTGCGCTTGGGTGCCCGCGCGACTTCGTCTCACTTCTCCCGGCTCTCGGGCTGAGGCAGGAGTTTCCCCATCAGACTGTCACCTCCAGCTGGGGCAGCAGGTTTATTCTGGTGACATTTTTTCACTTGGTTGCTTTAAATAGACCTTCAAAATGTAGCTGCTGCCTCATTTTGAAAGAGAACTTCCTCAGTGCTTCCCTATTTTTTTTTCCTCTGCAGCATGCCCTCCCACACACACCTGTTTGCAACACACAAAACATTGGTGTTTCTGCATACACACACACGGATTTCCATGCTGGAGAAAAGCCGATGATCCAGAGATTGAGACCTCTCTTTATGCACAAGGCAAGCAGCAGGCATGCATGTTTCTCCAGTCCTGCTCCCTCTAGGCAGTAGCCCTGAGCTGGAGAATCTCCTTCGTTAGGGAGGCGATGGGACTGCAGCCCTCGTTACTGTTATTAATATTGGCATTATGGTAGCAGACCCCTCCCCTTCAGATCAAGGCCGTGTTGTGCTTGGCAGTCCACGTGTGTCTCCTGGAAGGCTACGCTGCCACACAGAGCTTGCAGGCTCCACGGAGCAAAGTGGGAAAGAAATAGAGGCACAGAGAGGGGAAGTGATTTAGTGTGGTTTCAGTTTCCCTCTCTTTGCTCCTCGGCTGCAATGCTTGGGCCCTTGCTGCAAATTCGGGCTCTCTGGAACGGCTGCTAGAGAAGGGCCCTTTGTGGTGAGGAGGGTTTGTGGTAGGTACCATACAGATCTGTCTCCCGTGACCTGTTTGGCAAACAATATCTAGGATAGCATTTGGCAGGAGGTGGGAAAATCCTGCCCCTGAAATCTCTGGGAGTCTCTCAGGGAGGTCTGTGAGGTCAGATCAGCCCTACAGGTGAGTGTCTGTCCATTCACCGCCTTCAGCTGAGCCAGCTCAGCCTCTCTTACCCCCCTTTTTTTTTTTGCCTTTAATTTTGCAATTAAGATTTATTTCCCAGCTCAGATTTCCCCCTTCCACCCTGCACTAATTCATTACTTGCCCTGCACTCCCTTCCTGACACTCTGGATTTAGAACATGTCTTCTCATGTGGTTTCCCCCTGCCCTTCTGTGGCCTCGTGCACCTTGTGCGGAGCTCCAAAGAGGTGAATTTATGGGGGGAAAATTCGGTGCTTTGCATTTCTGCTGAGACATGAGCCATCTCGTTCCTCTGACTTCGTGAGCAGTCTCAGGACTTCCCATAGCCCCCAGACACTGCTCTCCTTTCCCTCCCCAGGCAGATGTGGAAAGTCGGAAAGATTTTCATGCTCCCTCTGAGCTCATAAATCAAGAAGGCTTAATCTCCTACATCCAGGAGTCTGTGATGAGAAAATACAGATTCCCCCTCCTCTCCCCCCTAATTTCCACCACTCCCTTCCTCCTGTCTTTCATATTCCCGGCACATCTGGTGTGTGTTAGGCTGCCAGCTGTTGCATTGTGCAGAGTGATTAAACCATGTGGGAGGAATGGGGAAAGATTTTTATCTGGGCATTCATGAGTCTGCATTACAAGCCCTTTTTTCTTTAGCTCTCCCCAAGAAGAGGTCATCTGGAGTCAGGGATAGTGGAATGTAAGAAAGGTATTGTGCTCCTCTGTCTCCCTTGTATCTGCTCAGTAAGAAATAAAAGGTGTTTGCACTAATGTACAGGTGTTCTATTTTGGGCTGTAACCATCACATTAGAACTATGGCTATAATATTGATTGGTTGCAGTAATATCTTGCAAGAAGTGATCTTTGAACACTGCTAGTTTGGCTTTGAAGTGACTTGAAGGTGAAGGTTTCATATCCTAGCGTGGGTGCCCCGGGGGATCTGGTTTTCGGTTCATTCCACTCTCCCCCTGCTAAACTCCCACACTTCTCTCTCTCATCCCAAGCTCCTGGATTTCCTAGCATCTGGCCAGCCTCTTCATCTCCCTTGCTTCCATGTCTCTTGCAGGCTTATATGGGGTTTGGATAGCATCTGTTGCTGCATGCTCTGATGCTGCTCTAACAATGTCACTGTGAAATATTTACTGCAGCAGATTTGGAAAGCCCTGGGCTGGCAGTGGAGGTGCTTCAGTGGATGCTTTAGGGAACCCAGGTGTCCTGGTTTCGGCTGGGATAGAGTTAATTTTCTTCCTAGTAGCTGGTATAGTGCTGTGTTTTGGATTTAGTGTGAGAATAATGTTGATAACACACTGATGTTTTCGTGGTTGCTAAGTAGTGCTTACACAAACGCAAGGAGTTTTCAGCTTCCCATGCTCTGCCAGGTGCACAAGAAGCTGGGAGGGGGCACAGCCAGGGCAGTTGACCCAAACTGGCCAAAAGGATATTCCGTACCATATGACATCATGCTCAGTATATAAACTGGGGGGAGTTGGCCAGGGGCAGCTCGGGGACTGGCTGGTCGTTGGTTGGCAGGTGGTGAGCGGTTGCATCACTTGTCTTTCCTGGATTTTGTTTCTCTCTCTCTCTCTCTCTCTCTCGTTGTTTTCCTTTTCATTACAATTTTTTTTTTCCAATTATTAAACTGTCTTTATCTCAACCCACGAGTTTTCTTACTTTTGCTCTTCAGATTCTCTCCCCCATCCCACCAGGGCAGGAGGGTGCCGCGGCAGGAGGGTGAGCGAGCGGCTGGGCGGCGCTTAGTTGCTGGCTGGGGTTAAACCAGGGAAACTCCCATCACAGCACAAGGAGGAGCAAGTTCCCTCAGGTGGAATGACCTTGCTGAGAATAGCACACCTGAGAGATGCAGCTGAAATATATGCTTGAATTACAGCCAAATTCAGATTTTATCTGGGCTGAATAACCCTCTGAGGTACTCCCCTCTGCTGACGATGTGGGGAATCTCTGATGTCTGTGCCCTGATTGTCAGTGCCCTGTTTCATTTCCTGCAGTTAGATGGGATGAGCGTAATCTCTGGGACTATAAAGCCTGGTGCCACCAAGCAGCAGTAGAGGGGAATGTTGCTTTTCTCTCCTGAGTAACATGACCTGACCATCACCTTGTGGGCAGAGGGGACAATTACTTCTCTTAAGGGGAAATTGGTAAAAAGAGCCCCCGCTGTGGCCACATCTGGCCTGAGTGAGTCACCTTTGTGTTTGCTGCTGCCAGGGCTCCACCAGCCACCATGAGGGAAGCAAAGAGACCTCGGAGGTCGGCAGGTCGGAGGTGAAAGGCAAGAAGTCCTCAAGCCATGGCAGCAGCCACAAGGGGAAAAAGACGGGAAGCGGGAAAAGCTCGGTTGGCTTCAGCTCAACTTCATCCAGCGGGACCTTCCAGCCTGCAGGTAGGGGGTGAAGGAGAAGCAAGAGAGGAGGGGATAATGGGGGTGATGTTTTGCTTTGCTCCCCTTTGATATCTCTGAATCTGTAAAGATATCCGTTCACCAGCTAGTGCTGTGAAACTTTGCGGATGGCTATTTCTTTAACCCCTTGAAGAGAAAGGGAAAAGTCTTATTACTACTGACTCCATGCACAGAGGGAAGAACTGAGTCAGATGAGTGTTACGGCTCCCCTCCTGCGCAGGCCTGCTGCACTGTAAGGAAAAACAGATCCAGATGTCTGAGTGGAGGGAGGAGGGAAGGGATACTGTGCACAGGCAATATGGGCAGCACCTGCCCTCTCCTCCGTAGGTGGTACTGTCTGCAGCAGTGTTTTAAGGAGTACTAGTGGAGAGACCTGAGCCAAAACCTGATATCCAGGCTCCCCTGAGCTTTGAGTCAAAACCTTGCAAGGCTCCCATCTGCTCTGACCTTGCTCAGTTCTTTTTTGAGCTGTTGTCATAACGGCTAGCATGTTTCATCTCCTGGGACCCTGATCGGGGCTGGAGGGACAGTGGTGGTGCGGGGCCTGGGGGAGCAGACACATGCACGTTTGGATGGGATGAAGCTGCTGGTGTGCACCCCTCGTGCTTGCTAGAGAGCATCAAAGCGACAGGGGGGGGAGCAGGGCTGGAAGGTGACAAAGATATCCTTCAGCTCAGTAACTAGCCTGTGCCAGAGGACCTGCATTGTGACCATGCTCCTGTTGCCTTATGGGCTGAGTTACTGCCACCACGAGCCTTCCTATATCTGCTTCCCCTCTGCTTCCCCCAGGTACCTCCTGCAGCAACTTGCAGTGCTCCCAGGACTTTGTGACATTCCCCAAGCTTGAGCAGGACGACGAGAAGTACCGGAAGCCTGTCTCTTCCTCTTCTTCTTCCCACTGCTCCCCTCTGTATGAAGGCCAGAAGGGGGACATCTTTGAGCAGAAGGTGATCTTCTCAGGCTTTGGGTCCATCATGCGCTTCTCCACCTCCACGGTGAGCCAGCAGAGAGGCCGTGATGCTTCCCCTGTGGACTACAAAGCCTCAAACCCTGTCAGTGGCCCTTCGGTGGGGAGCAGCGGGGCCAGCAGTAGCAGCAGCAGCCACAAGCGCATGCCGTCCCTCAGTATGGAGGAGGGAGAGGTGCTGAAGGAAAAGAAGCACAAGGGTAGCAAGAAGAACAAACATGGGCCTGGCAGGCCGAAAGGGGGCAAAAGCAAAGAGATTTTGGGTGCCCAGCTGGCTGGGTCTACTTCTACTTCCTCGTCACCCTTCTCTGGGGGCTCTCTTGTTAGCTCCAGCATCGGCAACTCTTCACGGTCCTTCAGCCACACGGGGAATCTGCCCAGCCTCAGCATGGAGTCCCCGCTGTTGGGTTCAGGTATGTTCCCCCTTAGGGCTCCAGGTGTGCACGGTTCCTCCCAGCCCTGCTGTCTTTTTCATCGCATTTGGCTGGTGTCTGGACCTGTCTGCACAGAGTCCAGTCCCTTTAGTTCAGTCCCAGGAGCTATAAAAATCCACATCTGGGTGTCCCCTTTCCATCTTGACCTTCATCCTAGAATCTCCTCTGGGTCAGCTTCTCTACCATTGGAACTGGGCTGCAGATCTGAGGTGGGGGGCATTTCAAACCCTTTTTGCTCAAGTGCTGGAAAACCTCAGCTAGCCAGAGCTTAATTTCCAAAGCGATAGAGCGCGATATTCACAGACCAAACCGGAACAACCACAATCTGACCCCAAATGGGGGACTCTCGTAAGTGGTTCAAGTTTAACCCCTCTTTTAAAAGCAAAACCTCTCATCCTGGTCTTACCACATCCACGTAGGGTTGGGAGACTGGCACACCATTAACTCTGCTGAGAGGCTTACAGCTGTTCCCAGCCTGAGTCCCCTTCCCTGGCCTGGCAGGGATGAGGGCAGCCAGGACGTGGCAGGAAGGGGTTAAGGCAGCAGGCAGAGGAGGGGCCTGCTGCTCAGGGCTGAGGTTTGACACTGTTCTGGCAGCAGAACTTGTCATCGGTCTATTGTGGGTTGTTTGCAGATGCTCCAATTTAGGTCAGATCGCAAGGTGGGGGGAGGTATAATTTTGTTGTGTGTGCCTGGGAGCCCTGGCCCATTTGTATGCACTGCCTGAGAGAGGAGAGGAGCTGCAAGAATTGATGCAACTTGCATAATCATAACCTTAGGCCAATTTTTTTTGCCTCCCCCCTCTCCGGAACAACAAAGGGATGTTTCAAAGAGTAGGAGGCTGCCAGGCCCTGCTCTCCTGCCTGCTTGTTCTCCCATTCTTCTCTTGTGGAGAGATGTTGGCAGGGTTCTGAAGAACCCGGCTTTGGGCACTGCCTCTGCCGCCTGCCTGAGCCAAGGGGAAGTCAGACGGGTCCCCTCCCTCAGCAGCAGCTCTCTTCTCACCCTTTCTTCCTCATTTATCTGTCTGTGCCCCACCATGGTCCCTGGGCATCATGGAAGGGGACAGGTTAGCTCAGGAAGAGTGTGGTCTCTTGACCAGCACGGCCAGCAGAGAAGTGGGACTCTCTGAGTCCGCTACCCTCTTCTGCCACTGACTTGTGCCTTTGGTGAGTCACTTTATGCAGTGATTTCTCTGTCAGATTGTTTCGGGGTGCGAGGAGCAAACAAGAGGGGGGCAGGGGTAAGGCTGGAAAAGTTTGTGGTACCTTTTGATAGAAGGATTGTGGGCTGTGACCACCCTCGCTGCATGCCAGGCCATGAGATGCTGAAGTGCATGTTACACTTGTGCATTGGTGCCACCCTCCCTTTCTGAGATCAAGCCCTGCAGAAAACCAGCTGCTTCCAGGCCATCGGAGGGGAGTGTGGCTCTCTAACACATCTCCTCCCCTTGCAGGGATCTACACCAGTAACAAGGACCCTATTTCCCACGGGGGCGGAGTGCTCCGAGCTGTGTGCAGTACACCCCTCTCTTCCAGCCTGCTGGCACACCAGGGTACGTCGTCTCTCCCACAGCTCAACCGGTCTCCCTTTGCTAGCACCATCCCAGCTTCCTCCTCCTCGGTCTCCACCACGCAGGTAAGAACATCAGGACCAGGAGAGGGACTGTAGTTCAGGAGAGCGTTGGACAGAGCAGTCACTGGCAGAGCAGGGCCAGTTTGTGGGCACAGAGGAGTTGCTTCTTTCACCTGGGAACAGCTACTCTTCCTTCAGTTTGGAGGGGAGCTGCCAACTGCAGCTTCCCTTAGAGTCGGTAGAAAGATGTAGGCAGTTTTGCATCACAGCCCACGCAGCCTGTTTCGGGGTGGGAGGAATTGCAACCTAAAGGGATGCCTTGCTTTCCATTGACTGTAAGGGGAGCACAGACAGCGCTCAGGTAGCAGAGGCCTGGCTGTCGGCGTGTGGTGTGTCCCGTGCTGCTCATCCCCTGCTGCTCGGCTGGATCCTGCCACCAGTGCCAGCCCTACCTTCACTCTGCAGCACAGATAACTTGGTGGGAGGGCTCGCACATCCCAGCTGGGTGGGCTGTGCATGTGCCAGGAGACAGAGCCTTGTCCTTTGTCAGGAGCTCACTGTGAGAGGTGTTTTACAGGGAGGAGAGAGTTAGTTTTACAGCCTCAGTGTTAACACGGCTCATTCAGACCTCTTGGCTCTGAGATGGGGCTGGGAAGATTTCAACTGTCTAGCGAGACTTCCAAGGAGATATTTTTAACACTCGCTCTCATGAGCAAGCTGGGTTCAAGAGTCAGGAGGAGATGGAATAATGAAGTTATTTTCCTCTTGCGTTTTTTTGAGAAGTCATTTCTCTCTCTCCCTCCTTGTTTTGCCGTGTAGGTGTTCTCACTGGCAGGTTCAACATTTAGTCTCCCTTCCTCACACATTTTTGGAAGCCCCCTCGCATCTGGGCTATCAATCAACCCACTCTTAAATCAGTCGGAAAGCAGCCGGGCAGGTACGTGAATCAGAAGGTATGTGAGTTTGGACTTCCAAAGGGGTCTCCCTGGAAGAGTCGAGACAACTGCATCCATAGTTCTCCAGCTGCTCTCCCTGCTTGCTCCCATCCCATGCGTGTGAGAGCCAGGGGCTAGGAGAGAGGGACAGTGGCTTTCTCCCCAGGGCAGGAGGTGCTTGTGTTTGCCTTAATGAAGTGCTGGCCTGCAGTCCTGTAAAAGCATAGCTGCTGGTGTGTCCACTGGGTAATGTGTGTCCCTGGACATACACTAGAAAAGTACAAGAATGTAAGTCCTTCCCTACAGAAATTTGTTGTCTTTTCCACACTAAAGCTGTGCAAACCTCTTGAAAACTACTGTCAGCTTTTGCTTGCTCAAAATAAGTTAAAAGTTTTTGTTGGGGTTTTGTTTTCTGGGGTTTTTTTTAAATGAGAGATATCTCATACTCTTAATTTTCATCTTCCATTTCTGTTTTGAGTTACTTTCTGCCCTTCCCCTTTGGCTTTGTCATGAATGCAGCAAAATCCACTGTTTTCAACTTCCAAGCGTGAACATGCCAACACTGAATTACTTACAACTGCTCATTTTTTCCCACCAAGGCAAATTCATTTTTCTTGGAAAATTGCCTGGTTAATAAGCAGGAAACTTGAAGCATCGTAAGATTTCTTTTTTCCCAAAACAGAGTGGGCTTGATTTTTGTTTTGCACCAGTAGTTAAACAAAAGCACCCTCCTGATTTTCAGATGTTGCAGTTAGTCGTGCAACTGTCTCATGCTCCCCTAGCCCAGAAATGTTGGCAGCTCAGCATGCTGGATGCTGAACTCCTGGGAGGTAAAACTCTGCCCAGTGTCACACTGAGTGACAACCACTTTAAAGCGCACAGTCCTCATTAGAGGTGGCTCTGAGTTCTCCGGATAATCTGACACCAGTGTGCCCTTATTTGCCTTAACAAGTGTGCATGCCTGCATGTAAAGCATGAATGAACACGTATGCTTACTTATGACCTCTGCAAGCCCGTGGAAGGTGCCTGTCTGTCTCTCCGCGTGTCACTGGCAGCATTTTGTCTGTATGCCCCCGCCGGCAGCTTGCATCTGCTTGAGCGCAACGGGAAGGTAACCGCGCAGCTGACCCCAGTGCGAGTCAGGGCCGTTGCATGGGAGCTGTGAGTCAGGAGTGATTCAGTCACCTGGAATTAAGGAAAGAATGGGATGATTCAAAGAGTTATTCTTCCCTCACGGCGATCGACAAGAGAGGGATGACCCACTGCCACTTCCCCTTTGCTGTTATTTTGGCAAGGTGCTGACAGAAGGAAGCGAGTCAACTGTCAGGAATAGTCCTGTGGTTCAGGCACAACACGGAGGCTCGGCAGCCTGAGTTCTGTTCCAGCCCTGCGGCTACTAATGAATGAATCATGTAGGCAAAATCCAACATACAAAGCGCTCAAAAAAGCCTGATCCTTAGTTTCCATTTCCGAGATTGCTCTTTTTGTTTGACTGGGATCTTAGAAGCTTCAGGACATGTTTCTTCCAGTTCCAGGCAGCCTTCAGAACAGCTCCTGATTTTTGTCACATTTAATGTTTGTCCATCACTATCTCCTCCTGCTGGAGCTAGTGACCCAGAGGGTGTTAAGCCAAATTCACTTTTTTTTCCAGGGGGATTAATTAACATGCATTAAGCCTCCTGTGTGGGGCCGTTTTCACTTAAAAGTGTGGTGACTGTTTTAATCCCAAGTTGTTAACAGGGTGGTTGTGAAGTTTGAAGTAATCCTGCCTTGTTTTTAATTCAGATTACTTTTCCTGAGAGTGTCTGTAGACAGATCCCATGGAGATGTAGCTTTCATTGCAGTAATATTTGAACTCTTCACAAAGGGAAATGGTGTTACCCTGTCTTACAGATGGGGGAAATGAGAAACTGTTATCACTGATGCAGGTTGATACCAGGGTGCCTTTGGCAGTACAAAAAGTCTGATTCTTATCTTCCCACTCCCTTAGCTACTGTCTAGTTCTTCCTCCCACGGCTTGTCCTGGATCCTGCCTCATTATGATGACAGGCCAAATGTATTTATCTTCTCTAGTTGTCTTCAAGCCTCTTTTTCATACTTGCTGCCTTGGAAAGTGCTGGCTCTGTGTGATAACTCAGTCATCTCCCTGTTCTGTAGACAACAGGGTGGTGTTGGCCAGGAGATAATTGAGTATGGAGCCTGGTACTGTTTCAGAAAACCAGAATCGTGTGTGTGTATGTATCTATATACATGTATATATGCGCACAACCTCCCTGGGCTGCAAGCAAACAACATGACAGTAACAAGCAGGCAGTCAGAGCTTAGCTGAACGTTTGTTTGGTTGCAAGTTAAAACCGTTGCGGCAAAGCTGCACGCGGTGGGCTGTGGATATTTTTCAAAGGGTTTAGGTGGTCCTTGGATGGAAACAATACTGAGAAGCACTGCTTCTCAGACAGAGAGAGTCTGACTGTCCCAACCTTCTGTTAGCTGATCCTGGGTTGGAGGACTTAGGAAGATTTCATGCCTTGTGGTGTCCCCAAAATCAAGAGTTGTCTCCACATGATGTCTTATACTGGGAGACTACTGCTGACTGGCAACTGCTGGTCACCTCCAGAAAGCGATGGCTTCTTCCCAGAAGAGTGGACCAGTTATAATTGATGGCCAGGAAGACATTCCCACGAGGATGAAGGAGTGAGGATCCCACTCATACCTGTCTGTAAGAGCTGCTGAACAACAGCTGCGTTTGCTTGTTCTCAGCAGTAGAAAATACTGCCAATAACTAATGCCCTGCTCAGGGCATTACACTGTAAATCACAGTGTTCCCTGCAGGAGACTTCCTGGATTCTTGCACATAAGAAATGTCTCTTATTGTGTGAAGAAGAGGAGGGGCAAGTCAGCCAGCTGGTGCAGGCTGTACTCGCAACATCTGACACGTCCCAGAGCGAGGGGAACGTGTGTTTACGGGCTGGCAGGCTCTGGGGATGGAAAGCAAATGGCAGATAAATATACTTCACTCCTTGATTACTCTTTGGATGGGAGATATCCTGCACCTGTGCACATGCACGGCGGCTGCGTCCCCAGCACTGCAGTGTCCCAGCTCCCTGGGACAGAGGAATGGGTATGGGATTAGCTTCTGGACACTGAAGCGCTTATTTAAGCTCTTTAGAAAGGAGCTGAGCATCTGGAAACTTTGGAGGACCCCAGCTGGGTTTCGGGAACAGATCCCGGAGGCAGAGGGCTGCGGTGGCACTTAGGAGAGCTGAGCGGGG